ACCCCCCCACACACACACCTTGCGGACGTCTAACAAATGGAGTGGCACTGGTGCTGCTATAGCGGCTATCGCGGCGGTCGATTTTCGCATTCATCAAAGTAAGTGTTACGGGTTGTCACGCGTCGTCCCTATAAGGAAGTATACGTACCCTGTGCAACGGGGGCCTTGTAGGGCCTGCGGGCTCGCTTACCATAGGGTACCCGTTGAGGAACAGGGACTTGTACACGGTCCAGGCTCCCCCGTGTGCCTCGCAGACTAGCAGCGGCATCAGCCCGTTCAGGAGGCTGAGGACGTGTTCCACTGCAACATGAAGGACAAGAGGTGTGATGCGGATGCATGCGCGCTTCGGACTGCTCCTGAGCGGGAAGGGCTGGCTGTCCACTCACCGAGCGCGCAGCTCATCATGAAGATGGTGATCCTCTTGCAGATGCGCGCCGTGCGCCTGTCGTCCTCGAGGCCCTCGGTGAGCAGCGACCCGGAGTTGCTCCAGCAGCTGGACAGGCGGGGCCATTGCAAGGACAGCCCGGACAGCAGGTGGACGGACAGCGCCGCCGTGCCGTAGAAAATGAAGTGGGCTGTGCGCAGACACACTGGGTTTTACTGCCCTGCTGGGGACATGGGGTATGCCTATCCATGAACAACATGATGGTCAGCGGCAGACTCAGCGGCAGACTCACAGGACGATGTGAGGCTGAGCTCGGTCTTGAACATGTGGACGGCGGCCAGGGCGATGACGACGACCATCACGGCGAGGAGGGTGGCGGTGCGCGCCCGGCGAGACCAGCGGCCGGCGTGCACCGGCAGCACGAAGAAGGCCTGCGCGAGGACCAGGGCCGGCCGCAGGGCCTCGGTCAGGGAGTCCCGGCGCGCCACCCTGGAGAAGGTCGGAGGCCGCTCCTCCAGGCCCTGACCCTCGGCGTCGCGCACCGCGACCAGCGGCCCGCCGCCCAGGGACGGCGGCGGCACCGTGAACGTGCTCCCCAGCGGGACGACGGCGGGCATGGCGTCGGGCACGAGTTGCGGCAGCTTGGGTCCAAGCTCGTAGCTGCTGATGCAGGTGACGTCGCAGCTGCCTCGGCTGGCGAAGCTGGCCGATCTCGTCGGGGAGGTGGTGACGCCGCCCCCACACCGCAGCCGCCTGCGTGCTTCGGCTGCCATGCGCGCGAGCGTGGCCCGCAGCTGCAGGTGCCTGCACCTGCCCCAGGTGTGGCACCGGCGCCTGTGCACGCAGAGAGGGCCCTCGGTCATGGCATGCCGCCGTGTGGGTAGGCAACCCAACCCTCGGCCGCGTCGTGCTCACGGGTTGCTTCCGCGGCGCTTGGCGGGCTGCGCTGACATGCCACGGGAGAGCTAAGGGGCGGGTGTGCGATGGTGGTCGTGATGAAGGGGGGCTTCTTCTTCGTCGTCTCGGCCGGCCTGCGTGCCCGCCATGGCCGTGTTGATGGTGAGGTGCCGCCCCCGCCGCCGCCGCCGCCCGCCGCGCCTTGAGGGCCACTGATGGGGCTGATCGCCGTGCCCGGGGGGGTTGCGCCCCGTCCTCACCCCCTCCCCCTCCCCTCCT